AGAAGCAGAAAAGATATATTAGTCTCCTATGGCTGCGAAAAGCAGATCGAGGTCGCGAGCTCGCGGTGCCACTGAGAAGAAATCAACAGTAAATGCTACAGGCAAAACGGGAAAAAATGTTCCTCCTCGGAGTGCCAGGAGAGCGCCGTGACCGACTCAGGTCTGCGTCTGGCAGAAAGAATGCACGCGACTAGCGCCGAATGTGCGCACAGGATCTTGATTCATTAAACTCGTTTCGATTCTACCACTTTAAACATGTGGTCTTTCTTATCACTATTTTAAAATGGTCGTCAGCAGCCGAGCCTCCATACCAAAACTGAACAAACGCGTCGAAATCATGTTAAAAAATATGAATTTCCAGTCCTTTAAGATCCGGATGCATAAAGCTCAGAATTGCTTAGTGATTGATAATACATGTTCATTTCCTTTTATTTTATGTGCAGTCTCTGCGCAAAAAAAAATAAAAATTAAACCTAAGGCGACAACAGTTTTTCTTTTATAAATACCCAAAGGGGCGGTTTTCCAAAAGTCGCAAAAACGTGCGCGTATACCGACAGTGATTTTGTGATTTCTGCACCTCAAGTGAAATTTTATTTTCCGCAAAAAAAGTTCGAATATGTTTTTGCGGTTGCACAAGTAAATTATATATTTTAATAAAAATAAAAATCGTAAAAAAAAAAAATGTCGACCGGACATGGTCGTTTGATCCTATCTGAAAACGCTATACAGAGGATCTCAGTCAATCAGAATTATCTTTTTTTTTTTTTTTTTTTCGTTGTGTGGCTTTTCACGGCGGCGGATTTATTGGCGCTCACAGACGCCGCAGTTCCAGGTTCTGCCACGCCCTACCTCCTTTATCATGTTACTTCAACGCTCGTAGGCTGATCTGTTTGCAAAGTCGCTCCGGTTGTTTCCTTTACCGCGAAGCATGTTATAGCCTGGCGCCTCTCGATCGCCCCGGCCCATGGGCATTTTTGGGTCGGTTCTACGAAAATGTATTAAAGGCCCGTTCACACTCTTGCGACCGAGTAAGACCGAGAGAGACCAGTCCGGTTTTTAAGCCTCTTGCGACGTCTTAGGAACAGCTCCGCTGCAGCGCATCCGGTCCTAAGACATAGCAAAAGGCTTAAAAACTGGTCTGGTCTCTCTCGGTCTTACTCGGTCGCAAGAGTGTGAACGGGCCTTAAGAATCTTTCCTTCAAAGCTACCGTCCACCTCTGAGCTGTCAGTTTTTTTTTTTTTTTTTTTTTTTCTGACCACCACGTAGCATTTTTACGCTTCTTAATACTAATGAAATTGTAAAGAACGGGTATGTGCACGCCCCATTTATGACAACTGCGTTAGCGCCAATTTGGCCATTATTCTCGCTTTATAACTTTAAAGCTACAAAAATATTGCATTATGTTTTGGCAGATTTTGTTAGTACATATTATAAACGTTAATTTTGCAGAGTTTAAAAATATTACAGATAACCTTTTTTTTAAATTATTTTCAAAATGCGTACTTTGTTAGATGTCCCTGTGTCAGCAATTCTTGTTAATTCCTCCCGCTAACCAGAAAAACAAGATATCATGCAAAGATGAACTATTACAGGGCAACACACTGGCAAAGTTGGAAGACCTTAGCTTTTTTAAATATGGAGAAAAAAATTTTAATCTTGAGCATTATTGCGCGATGCGCCGTATTTGCGATTTTGTTTCTCAAGATAACGACCCTATACTCCGCGACAACGTTTCTTGGTAGTGCAGTGGAAGGTACTGGCACGCGTTCCCCTTCCCATTTTGAGCGCTGAATAAAGCTGTGCGCGGGCTCTCCTCCTCTTCTCGGAAATGACAAGAAAAGTTGTTGAGGACTTTTAATGCTCAGTGATTAATACTTTTACAGCGGAGCTGTTAAGTATTAATGTTAAGCTGTTAAGTATATAGTTCCCCAGGATCGTGTTCAATACAAATCAAATGTCGACACAAAACTCTGGACAGCTACCACCATCTCTGAGCGACGGCGGCAACCAGACCATCGGCTTGCCGGCCTCGCTCATAGATGGCGGCAACCTTTCCAGCCTATATCCACCCTGGTTTTCACCCGAGTGGAAAGGCTGAATTTCTCTAGGCGTCGTCCTAGATGTCGTCCTCGAGGTCGTCCGTTAGGTTCGAGAGGTTCTCTTCGAGGTCGTCCTAGAAGTTGTCCTTGAGCTCGTCCTAGACGTTGTCCTCGAGGGCGTCCTAGAAGTCGTCCTCGAGGGCGTCTTAGACGTCATCCCTGAGGTCGCCCTCGAGGTGGTCCTAGACGTCGTCCTCTAGGCGTCGTCCTTGAGGTCGTTCAAGATGTCGTTTTTGAGGTCGTCCCACCATAGCACAACTTCGCTGGTCTTCCTTCTTGACCAGAGTGGAAAGGCTGAAAACAAATTTTTTTTTTTGTTAATCCTTCCTATGCTTAAATTATTACTAAATATTTCTGGACCCATAGTCAGGACAGTTTGTTTGGGGAAGCCACCCGGTATGCCAACATCGCGCGATACTCAAGACGCGCACGTCACTGAGAGGGTGCTTACAAATTTTTTTCGCAAAGACTACTTTTTTTTTTTCAAAACAAGGGTCGGTTTAGTTTTTCTGGGCATAAAACCAGCAAAATATTTTTTTCATCAAGAATTAAAAATAGTCACCGGACATGGTTGTTCCATCTTATCTGAAAACGCCCTACTGAAATAACTAAGGCATGCAACGCGAGTACAGACTTCTCTCGTGGATGCGCCGCCTATTTTATCAGTCATCAGTAAACTTGTCGGCTTCGCCGACTGTTAGGCGCGAAAAGCGCGCTCCTAAACGCCCCAATGGAGCGCGAGACTTTTGCACGAGGCTGGAGTCTGCCAACGCGGCTGCCAGGTCATGGCGTCTATGGCCATATGCCAATACGTGACAATAAAAAAAAAAAAGGTTTTATAAAACGTTTTTCAGTGAAGATCCGCCAAAAGGCAGATCTTCATTCTCCACTCGTGAGCTTTTTAACCCTATGCGGAGAACAAGTCGTCTGTTTCATGTGCACAAGTTGTGGTGACGTCAAAACGACGCCGAACGCTGATTGGCTTTGGTTGAAAGAAGAGCGGGTAGACCTCAATGCTAGATGCCTCGAGGTCTGCCCACCATTTTTGTTTTCCATCGTTCAGTCAGAGCTCGGAATCCTGACATCGTCGCAATCCCTGTGGAAGAACCGCGGACGGACTTGCGCTCCAAATAAACACGCCGTTCCCTTTCAGCGTACGTGACCAGCGCGGTCACTGCGGACGTAAATCTAGACGCGGTCCTTAGATCACCTCGCCTGGAACTTTTTCGTCAGGCTATGAAAAATATTTTCTTATGGACAAATTGAAGACCCAGAGACGCGCTGTCGACGTTACAAGTCATACAATCAGATCGCCCGGAGAGCCTAATGAAATGACGTGGGTTCCGAGAAGCCAGAGTTGAGAAAGTCGTTGGGTGCGTCTACTCTTTCATAAAACCCCACGAACATGTAGAAAAGATGGACGATTGGAAACGCCATCCATACTTGAGACGTAGGGGTTCATATTATTTCGGAATAATTGAAACACCACCTAAAAATGTGACATCTGGCTTAAAAATAAGAAAAAAAAAATATATATATATATATATATATATATATATATAAGGAAAACAAATTAAAAGTAAATATATATATATATATATTTTTTTTTTTACTTTTACTTTTTTTTTTTTTTTTTCATGGAACGGCGCATTTTGTTAAGACAATGTTTATTAGCTTGGAAACCGCCGATGTTCCCAGACCAGAAAGTAGGCTACCAGAAAGTAGGCTACTGCTCCACAAGACAACCGAAATTCGAATTGTGATCACCATTCAATTTAAATATATCTCCAACGTAGCAGACGAAAGTTTTCCAACAAATAAAGTCGCGAAAAAAGAAGTATATCTAAGCCACCCTTTTTTAGACATGTACTTAGCACGTTAGAAGGAACGAGTTACTTCTACTTAGTTACTTTTTTGGTAACGGGTAACATATTTAGTTACCTTTTCTAGAAAAGGAACGAGTAACGTACTTCGCCACTTTGAAGGCCAAGTAACAATATTTCGTCACTTTTGAGGAGTAACGTCTGCAACAAAAATTAAACGGTCTTGTTTTGATTCTAACCTGAGTATGCGTCTACTGGGACAAAGGCAGTTGGGCAACCCGGAAAACAACTAAACAGTACGAAAGTATAGCTGATTTAAAAGGATAAAAGCATAAAACAAGGAGGTCGAAGAAGAAACACGCAAGACACAACAACGTTACTTACGGAACACGCCAGCCGAAATCTACAGCTGGGAATGTCCTTCACAACCAGCGTTTGTTGAACCTTTCTAAAATCGTATACAGACCGAATGTAAACCCGGAGGTCACCAACACGGCAAGTTATAGATCCCGTTGTCAACTTCGAAGTTTAGACGCATAGAGAATAAAAGAGACAAGGGAATCCCAGATTCACCAGCTCTTCCTGAAGCACAAAACAGCCGTTCCTTCGAGCGTATCAGTAGAACGACTTTTCAGCGTCGCTGGAGGAGCATTCCCAACAAAGCGGGGAAACATAACCGACGAAAGCTCTTACGGCTTAGGTACAATGACTATCGAAAAGAAGGCAATGAACCACGAAACAAAAGCAGTTGCGTATTTGGTCGTCAAAGTACCGAGAAAATAAACTCGCTACTTTTGAAGTAAAATAACGCTTTCCTTTTGAGAATCGGTAACGAGTAACGTATTTGGTTATTTTTTTGGGGTATCGCGTACGAGCCTACCTTCCTCCCACCGAATTTTTCTACGCGCGCCTACGCAACCTGCGATTCTCCCCCACGACGACTGCGTGCCTTCGATGCATGTTCTCAAAACTTCCCCCAAAGACGTGCTCTTCTCGCAGCTATACGGCGGGCATGAAGTCGCGCGTTACATCATGACGAAATGTCGCGCGACCACACGTTGAGCCCATTCTCGCTTTGAGGGGTACCGCCCGGCACTCGACAAGCAGCGGCGGCGGCGGCCGTGGCGGCAACGTTCTCTGCCCACACGCTACGACAAACGGAGTCTCCCTCCTCTCTCTTCTCCCACTCTCATCTCTCCCCCACGTTTTGGCCGCTCTCTCTCCCTCGTTTATCGCGGCGGCAAGCGGCAAGCCGTCGGCGACGCTAGGCGCTGCTGCCAGCAACGAGTCCGGCGTAGCGTTGCCTCGATCGCTAACGACTGAGTCGCGCCGCTACGCATTTCACTCGAAGACGTCGTCGTCCGTGGCTCGTCACCGCCGCGCGAAGGAAATTTCTGCCATGTTTTTCAAGGTATGTGCCGCTGCTCTTGTCCTCTTAAACGCACCACTTTTCCTTCCCCCTTACATGCAGTTCGTTGGCTTTTTCTTCCTGCCCGTGACTTTGTTAGCGCGTTTGCACTTCTGGAAGATCTGCTGTCGTATACTTCGTACCTTTTGAGAAAGTTCCGAGCCGCCGCCAGCGAAATACAGAGTTGTCACTGGCGATACGTTATAAACGGCGCTTGGATGTGCCTTCAATTTTTGAAGGAAAAGAAGTAATGTGTTCTTGTTTGTTTTTTTTGTTGTTTTTTTGTATATATTTAGTTTTTTTTTTTTTTTTAACCTTCTTTACCCTACCTTATGTCGTTTATGGTACCGTTTTACCACATTCCTGTAATCAAGCTGCTACAGTCACCTGCACTGGTTCTCGACAGGTGCGGCAATGGCGTTTTCGTAATCACTTTACAAAATTCGGCGTTTTTTTTTTCTTTTTTAGGTTGCGTTTCTATACGAGTTTGTTTACCCTTAATTTTCGGCTTATTTCACTGAAGGGCTCTATAAGTGATTAATAATTCACGGATCTTGCCGAAATGTGGAATGCAACCCACTTCGCATTTATTGAAGGATACAGAATACTTTATTTCTGAAGGATCCCCCGTAACGCTTTCGATTGGGACTGTTTACAAATACGCACACAGGCATACATATGTATTACTAGGTGTAAGATATTGACAGGGTGGTTCCATTAGGAATCAAAAGGTACAAAAACTGAGAAAAATTAAGCCATGTGCAAGGCTTCCATCCGCAACGTCCAGGGCGGCGATCTAGCAAATTGAAACGTCCTCGTCCCTTTTTTTGTTTACTGCCTGCGGACCCACTTGAGTCATTCTTCCCTTTTGAGCTGCACACTTGTATCATCTTTTTTTGCAAGCAACTGTCACCTCCATCGCGACCTCCCTCGGCCTACCAAATGACGACAGGACGCGCTTAAACGTTCAGTCAGCTGCCACGATGCCATTGGCTCGGGTACAAACCAAAAACTAAAATCGCAAAACTTCAACATTAAGGTCTGATCCTGCGTATACCGACGGGCCTCGTTATTCATACATTAACTCGCGCTCAACCCAAATCCTCATGCAAAAACGGCTCGTCTTCGGAATAATACATGTCAGGGCGAAGCGTCAGTTCCTCAATCAGTGACTGTCAGTCATGTCCGAAATAATGTGTTGCTTCGCTATTAGTGTGCGCGCGTATAAACGTTTACACGATAGATTGTCACACGTTCCCTTTTCTCGAAACGCTACACAAACGCTGTCATAGGACAACACGGCCGGTGTGTAACACGTGTAGGCGTTCGTAATCTCTGGACAGGTAAAACAATAAGGCGCATCGCTCGGAGCCGTCCCCTCGAGCCATGTCTCGACGGTTTCGCAAGCAGCGGTCAAGAGGCGTCGTCCGAAGGCCAGCTGTTTTCCCCGAAAGCCGTTTGAGTAGTTTGAGGACAGCGGCCCGGACCGGCCCGAGCGACGCCGGGCGTAAAGCTTGGCGGGGCGGAACGGAACGGAAGTGCCCGTTGCGTCACGAGCCGACTGCCTTCTTTCTCTCTTTGCACGCGCCCTACACTCGTTGACGAGCGTTTCCGGCGACGATTTCTTCTTTTTCGCTCCGCAAACGCGCGCACGAAAGGGGAAGTCACCTGAAAGAAGAGAGACGTCCACTTTCCTCGTTTCTTCGGAGTTTGGTACTTACTCCAGTCCCTAGCTGTACTGCACGTTGGGAGTACGAACGTTGAGTACTTGCGTGAGTATACTTGACGTAACGCTTTGTTTCAATCCGGACTTCAGTTGGCTTATTAATCGTTTTATGGGACTCGCGAATAGTCATCTCGAAATGTGTACCCAATAAACATCTGCGTTTTCTGCGATGGGAAACCACGAATCAACACTGCGTCAGACACGCCTGTGGGGTGTGCTTGGTAGATTCAATAACGGCGGCACGTTGAGCGAGCAGGAAAGAGAGTATGGCGATTATTTTTTACCAGAAAGCTACGCGAAAGGGCTTTGGAGCGCGCAGTTTTGGGACCTTTATTAATATCAGTTGTGATTTCCGCGCAAGACTGCAGAGCTTCACTGCTTCAAACCGATCTACCAGTGCTACGGGCGGGAATTTGTGTTTTCAGACCAGAGGAGGCACTCTGTAAATAGAACATTTCTTCCTTCAGCACATGAATGCATACATCACGGTGAGATAAGGCATCCACTACCAGACGACGCAGTTTACTTTAACTAGATCATGGTGCAAGGAACACTCTGGTATTTTAAAATGATAACAATTAATAAAACATCTTATCCACCAATCTGTTAAGAGGTTTGCTTGACGTGGGTAGCTTCGTCCTTCTCGTTTCACCTCCACTCTTCAGCGTAACTGCAAAAGGATGTTCACCATGAGGTCATCCTCGTCCTCCCACTTCAGAATTTCCTCGTCGCAGTACATCTTTCTGCCCAGTTCGCTAGGACCTCGACCAGCCAGGACGGCGAGGGGTAAACGTGCTTCGACTCTTGGACGCGGGTAGTTGGACCTCGACGCCCTCGTGGCATTGGCGGAATGCGCACGCAACCAGACGACCAAGGTGACCGCAGCCGCGAGTGCGAGAAAGTCGACAGGATGTGGAACTGCGACGCGAATTGATTCGCATTTGTAAGCGGTGCGGCGCGTCGGGTTGCCTTCTGCAAGGACGCTTTAGTTCGCTGCGCCAATAAAATGTGCGACGAAGCAGCTCTCTTAATGTCTCCGGTTATCGGAATGCCGGGAAATACCCGTCCGCATAGAGAGTGTATACCTTATAGTCCGCACCGTCCGTTGTTGTTATGCTGGCGATTGTCGTAAAGATGTCTTATCACGAAGGCCCCGATATATCCTTGGTCGATAACGCGGCCAGAATAGCGAGCTTGAGCACCTATGAGCTAGCCCGATGCAGTGTAAGACCGAAGACGTAAAACACACGGGGAGAAATGCCGCCTGTCGACTTCTCATTAGAAAGTCTGTGGCTGAAGAAACTGCCCCGACGCAAATAGCAACGTAAACAGTAAACGTTGGAAGTCCTCGGTAAGTCGTCGGAGGCCACTTGAGTCGAGGTGGGGTTTATGGGGGCGATTAGGTGGCCGCTATATGCTACAGACTTTGGCGTCTTCCTTGATTGCCCGCGTCTCATGAACCAAGCATGTAAGATCATGGGTGGGTTCTAGCGGGAAAGGACAAAGGGGTCAACTTCTGGAACGGTATCTCGAAAATCGCAGCCGCATATCTTTCGGAGCATCGCCTGCGAGAGCGGCGCCGGGCCACTCCGTCGCCCGTCGGCCGGTACATCGTACGCGTTCAAACTTTATAAACTTATCAAGCTGTAACCCGAAAGCTAAATTGTTGGGTTGGAGTGATGGATCCAACGCTTAACCTTGTGGCCCGCATGCATGGGCGACGACTTTATCGGGCCCAAGGGAAACGGTGCCGTACGTTTTCTGGGGCACTGCTTCCGGGATTCGCAAACTCGAAGATATATATCCTCTGCAGCGCGGCTTCCAAGCATAATGTAGAGGGCCAATAAATCTGGCAGGCATTTGTTTATTTTAGTTACGTAATTATACGTGATTGAATTGTATTACACTGTCAGAAATCTGGAGCGTCCATTTTGCCCCGCAAAGCACGTGGGAGCTAGAGCGCTCTAATCTACAGAAGAAACAAAAAAACTTAGCAAACGACGCGGCTGAATTATTTTTAGACCCGTAAAAGAACAGTTTGCGCTGTGACAAAGAGCATGACGTCTCACCATGCTCAGTGTCTCAGCGCAGACTGTCTTTTTTTAAAGGTGTATCTAATCAAACGTATAGCCTCGTCATTTGCCGAAATCAGCGGTTGGCCCTCCCTCGCGCTTCGTGGAAAAGGAAGCGCTCTAGATTTGTTCGATTGTAGTTGCTTTCATCTCGTGTTTTCAAATTGACAGGCAATATCACGTAGTTCGGGTTATTTCGTCGCACTAATGCTGGACGAAGAGAAATAATCTGAATGAGGGGAGTAATTCTTTAGAGAAGAGGAACGAGCTACATTTTTGTTTAGGAGCCTATATAGAGATCTCTTCTGAGCTTCGGAAAACTTTCGGGTGTACGATGATCAGGCATCATCCTGAATTTACATAATTTGATCAATTAAAACCTTAAGTCGTTGTCTAGAGACTAAGAGAGTAGAATAATCATTACCTGTATTTTGACTAATCGTTCAGCGAGACTTCTTGGCCAGGTTTAATGAAAAACACATTCCTCCGTTTCTGATTTCTCCTCTCACTCCTTGGCTATCAAGAGTACTTCGCAGATTGCACCGTTGGGCGCTTAAGTATGTCGATGCGTCAGCGAGTTGGAAGAGCAGAGCTCAAGTCAACTACGGCAGTTTGTATTTCACTGGTGACGTCGGTATAACTTCTGACGCCATTGGAAACTTCAGAAACGCAGAGAACGGCTCATTATGTTCGGGGTGGGTTCTTTGGCGGGGCGAAAATAAGAGACACGTTACGCGGTGCGCTTGTTAATTTGTCTGCTACTATATATTCAGAGCCCTATAGGCCACTTGGGGCGCCGTCCGATGCAGACCGTACGCCGTATACAACATGTGTTAAGTTCATTCTGACCAAGCCAGGATAAACTTACGTAGTCCAGGCACCACCTAACAGCTACCTGTTCCTCACAGCCACACATTCCGCCTTTGCCTTCCGCAAGCCTCGAAGCAGAAACACGCAATGTCTGTTACCTCTGTCTTCTATGCAGCCAAAATAAAAAGAAAGAGGAAAAGAAAGGAAAGAAGTAAACAACATGCGCGGCAGCACCCTAACGTATGAGTTTCCGAGGGGCCAAGACGCACACCTCTCCGCCACACGCTTGAAATATCCCCGCGGATGGCTTTAACGCCGCTGCCGTCTGGCAGCTCCCAGCACCGCCCGCTGGTCGGCCGGGAGGGTTGGCGGCTGCCACCCTCGCGTTTAATCAA